CCGAATAAATATTTATAAATGAGCAAATTGATATATTTTTGTATAACATTATCAAAACATTTGTTGTGAACTATAGAACTATATATGTATATGTACATACATATGAAAAATGTTAAGTACCTGCGGTGTAGCAGTAGTAGTAGAAATAGAAATAATAATAGTAGTAGAAATAGTAGTAGAAATAATAGTAATAGTATTAATAGTAGTAGTAATAGAAGTGGTAATAGAAGTAGTAATAGAAGTAAAAATAGTAGTAGTAATAGTAGTAGTAAAGTATCAGTAATAGTATTAGTAAAGTAGTAGAAAAAGTATAGTAGTAGTAAAGTAGTAGTAATAGTAGTAGTAAAGTAGTAGAAATAGTAGTAGTAATAGTAGTAATAGTAATAATTTGTATGTCGATATGGAGTAGTAGAGTATATCCTTCAAGCTACAAATTGCAGATGCCTTGTGGACTCGTTCATCAGAAAAGATTCAATTGTTTTTTAGACCCTAAACACCTTTGAGACAGCCAGTAGAGTCCGACATTTTTTCTGACTTGATAGGGATGCTGTCAGTCATATACTTACTTCGGATTTTTATCAAATTGAATTCAATTTTTAGAATAGTATTATTTTCTCTTTATTACCTCCATTCAATGGAAATGTTGTTGCTTACGCCAGCATTATATATTTTTGCTATTCATACATATATTTTGTACATGAAACGAATATTAATTTTGTTGTAGGTTCTTATTAGCGTTCTCCACAAAGACCTTGGCATTGTCAACGAAGTTGTTGGTTAATTTCTTCATTGCCTCCTCATCGATCTTGATTTCAAGATTTCTCATGTTGTTGAATATATTGATAAGTTGAGAGCCAAGCTGCTGGATTGGTTCATTGCTTTGCGTCGTAGCCTCATCGGCGTTGCAGAACTGAAAATATAACAATTAAGAAACACATAGGAGACCATAAATACACTGACTCCAATTGGAGGTGACATGTGATTCACTTACCACAAATAGCGCAAAGAGCAGAAAAACAAAGGCGATCTTTGCCATTATTAGGGATTTTTCGGTTTACAATGTAGCACCAAGCGGTTAAGCAACGAAAAGTGTACTAAAAGAACGATGAGCCAGAAACCCCAATAGAGGCCTCAGTTGAAGAACTTCGCCTCGCGATCGCACGTGCTCGATGGTACTTATCAGCCCCGGAATTGTGATCAGCTGTGCTCTGCGACAATCGAACGAGACTTCAATGGGAACTCGGCGTAAATATCACTGGATTTTAGTTCCGGTTTTATTATTGTGGCTGCTCTTTGAATTTAGCTATCTGTGCGGCAGCCAAATAATTTCATATTAAAATATTGAATATTACGAAATCTGTTCCACAATTATTAGTTATTTATATTGTTTATCAGAAGTAAACAACATTTTGTATTCATGAATAAGTGAAGATATTCACATTCAATATAGATTTTTACTCAATTAATAAAATGTAAAGAAATGAAAGTTTGCAATGCTCTTCGAACAGACCTCGTACAGAAAGACTTTAATCAGCTGTAGCTGATTTTAGCTAATTATAGTACTATAGTCGACTATCAGCTTGTGATATTATTGTTCACTTTGTTGATTTCATATTGAGCTTTGTTTAGAGGCTTTGTCAATGAACGTGTAGCTTTATAGCACTCTTTATGTGTTTGTTAGAGTATAATAAAAAAAATGAAATAATATATATACATATATATAAAATAAATTCACTTTAAGTAATGCAACAGGTATACTCACTTTTCTGGAAAATCAGTAATCAGTAATTTAAATATATGTATATAATACATATGTATGTATATAGCTTGTTCAATAATAGCATGAATAAAGCTTCTACTTAATGGAAATTTACATCTATTAGTCTCTACCTATCGCCAATCTCAGCTGTATGCTTTGCTCTATTAAATTCACATTCGTAATGTAGTTCTAAGCAATTGTATTCCAGTTTGGTTTAATGTATTTCAGCTTCTTTTTGTTTTGTTTATTTCATCAAGGAAATCTTTTATCATATTTATTAAAGTTAAATATTTTTCAATCTGCACTTTATTCGAATTCGATTCGAATGCATGATTTACGCTTTCTTTTCGGTCAACTTCTCGGCCTCCTTTTGGGTGTCAGTCAAGAACTTTTTGGCATTTTCACCGAATTTCTCGACGAACTCCTTGACTTTTTCCTGGTCGACGTGCTCGTTAAAGTAATCCTTGACCTCCTTCAGACGCGCCTCAATAGTGGCCTGAATATCGTCCAGTGCAGACGAATCCTTCTTCACCTCATCGCCGGTGCACACCTGTAGCAAGCAATCACCTTTAGAGTCTAGCACGGAATCGGGCAATAGTTCAATTGACTTACAACAACAAAGGCGCACACTAGCAAAAGCAACACAAATTTGGCCATTATGAAAGGGGATGCGTCTTCGACAGATCTAAAAAACTGCACTGAGCGCTCTGCCTCGCTCGGCCAGCACTTAAATATGCGGCGATCGTCGGGCATCACTATAGTCAGCAGATGCAAAGTGCAGTTGCAGTTTTACCTATAGTGTTTATGCAAGTGCTACGAACTCTGATTGCAATTATCATCCACTTACATTGTCAGCTGTGGGGTATCCAGGGCATCTACAATAAAGAGGTAGTAGTGATAGTAGGTGGGGAAAATATGAGCTCTATTCATAAAAAGTATCTAATTAATAAATATTTAAAGAGATTTAATAAATATTTAAATAAATTATTGATGAGTTTATATTATTTATATATTTTTATATATATTAAAAATATTTTTAATGGAAATTTTATATATATATTTTGGATACTCAATCCTCTAGCTTAAAATTTATTGAAAGTATAAGGAGAATAATAAATCTGCAGCCAATTTTTAATACAGTAAGCTTTATTTTTAATATCATTTTAACTGTGTGTAAAAAAGAGTATTAACTATTTGCAGATTTCTGTTTTTCTTTTAATATTTTGTATTTTCTTTATTTATTTATTTATTTTATTTTATTTTTTTTTTTTTTTGTAGATTCGGATTTGCTGATTTTATTGTTTGATCATTTTTATCTCCGCTTAGAGGCTACGTCAATGAACAGCATGTGGAGCATATTAGCTCATAGATGTTTGTCGCAGTGTTTTATTGATAAAATGCGCGACAAACCTACTCAACCTAGCAGAATTCTAAATTTGGGCCATAATGAAACACTGGCAGATGAACTAATTATATGTCTGCCAATAATAAATATAAATTAATTATGTATATTTTTACAATAAATTCTTTTCTATATACATAAGATATTTCACTATATGTATATTTGGCTATCCTGTTAATTCTTTCAATATTAAATCTATGTATTTGTGTATCTAAAACCAAAGTAATCTACATTCGCAAAGTATTTGATACATTACAGGGTATACAGATATGTAGCCATCTTGCAGATGAGAAATTCAAATGAATAGCAATTATTTGTACTATAATATACAAACGAGATAAGCTATTCTCTAATCATAGCTGAGGTTAAGCAATCGGGGCCAGAGACAACATTCAAATGCCCGAGCAACGGGTAGATTAGCTGTATCAGAGCTATTTTTGAATGGGGAATACTTCCATCATGCTTGCCATATGAATAGGGTATTCGATGTTCGACAGCTCTATCAGTCTCGCATTGAGCATACAAAAAGTACAGTTTGGCACGTTGAGCTCTAGCGTTTACATGTTTATACAAATAGAACTATAAGCACTGATAAGAGTTGATTACATGACGTGGTCGTCATCAGAGCTGACCTGTCTGGGCTGTCCGACCGCCAGTCCGTCCGTCTGACAGGCTGTTCGTCTATCTGCCTGACATCGCACGCGATTTTTGCATTTTTTTCCATTCTCACATTTTTCACTCTGTCAATATTTAAATGACATTCACAGTTGGCCCGCTGTAAGCAGTTAGCCCCGATGTTAATGCCATATATTTTAGCCACTGTCTGCACTGATGTTTGCATTAAGTAAACACAACAATTTATTATTGTAATATCGGCCTTTTAAGCTATTTGTGTACATATTTATGTTATTTATGTGTCTGCTCGATTGTTAAAAATGAAAAATAAAAAACAAACAGGAAAAATAATGTTTTGCAATTGAGGTTGGATTGCAAAATGTGTAAATAAAATTGTCATAAACTCTATATTCATTTAATTTCAACTGAGCCATATATTCATATTTATTTAAATTTATATATTATTTATATATGTATTTATTTACATTTGATATTTGCTTTCAGTTCATATACATATTTCATTGGCCTCATATGATAACATATGTATGTGTGGGTGTGTGTGTATACCATTTATATTTCCAACTCATGGCAGTGCTTTCGATGTGAGAGGAGCGACACTTCATAAGCGCCCGCCCAGACAGCATCTGTTTTTGTTGCTTTTCGCCGCTTAGTTTCAAGTGCAATCCATTAAAACAATTTAATGTAAAATTGCGTGCCCGAAATTAAGCGGATGCTCACTTATTGGCTGCCAGCTCTCTGGGTCTGCGTCTGGGTCCGTTGTTGAGCTGTGCGCACTTTGGGTCTGTGAAAGTTTATTTTCCACTTGAAAGCCAGAAGCAGCGAAATTAATAGCGAATTCTAATAGACAACCAGACAGACGATGGCTTTATGCCTTTGCCCAGACACAAACAAATGAAATCAAGTGGCGGCAGAGATCGAGTCTCCAGACCCAAAACACAGACGCAGATGCCGAGGCGAGATACACACATACAATACATATATATATATATATATATACATATATTTGTGAGTATATCCGGCAAAACTAAAAACCGCTAATAAATTTCTACTTGCCAGGGCATAAACTGTCTGCCTGCGGCCTGGCCGGGCTAATTAAAATCGAAGGTGTTGAAAATCAATTGACTTTTGCTTGCTGCAGCTGAAAGCAATCAGCGTGGGTTGCTCCTTTAGTTTGGGATAATACAGACGTGAAATTATTTGAAATACTCTCGATAAACGATATTTATTGATCTAGGGTACGGAAAATAATATATGCTCCGGCACGGGCGGATGGCATTGAGGCAAGGGTGGACCCAATGTTGGGTAGGTGCGCAGACGTAGCAGCTCCAGAATCGTTTGCAATTCCAGCACGTGGGCATAGTGCTTACGCACATTGTCCAACAGCTGTCTGTGGGTCTTGATCTGTTCCATGCTGCAACAAAGAGAGAGAGGGAGAGTGATACGGAGGGCAATCAGTAATCACAATCTACACTATGTATACGTATGACTTACCGTTCGTTCTGCTCGCGATCGCGACGCTCTTCCATCATCGTGTCGCGCATGGAGGACTGCAGAGCCACATCGACTTTGAGTCGATCGATTTTCGAGTCAATCAGATGATTTTGTCGCTTCATGTCGATAATCTTCTGCTTCACCTCATCGATTTTAATATTGCTGAAATCAGAGTTTTATGGAGTCACGCCTGACAGCTGGCAAAACAGAAAACTTACACGCGATCAATCTGCCTTCGGAACACGGCGATTTTCTGCTCAATGATACGCTCGATGGCGCCGGCTGTCATCATTTTCTGTCGATCGGCCTTCATCTTCTCCCAGTTGCGCAGAATTTTGAGGAACTCGATGGTTATCTTGCACTTCTCGATGGCATCCAGCATGTACTTCAGATAGGATATGTTGGCCTTGTAGAGCTTGTGCTCCCATTCCTTGTAGATCACCTGGCGCCGGAAGATCGCCACGCGCTGCATCGACTTTATCTTCTTATTGCCAGCGTCCTGCAAGTAGAGTGAAAAGAAATTTGTGTGAAATTTGCATACATAACTATATACATATATATATATATGTATATTCCAGCTAGTTACCCTTATCATGCGGTTCACATCATTGATGTCGTCCACGTGCATGAGCACGCTGTTCGCCAGCGACTTAACGGAGCCTCCCACCTGCACCTCCACTTGGCCCAGTGTCAGGGTCAACTGCAGCGGCATATTCCTCAAGGCCTCCAGCTGCATAGGCATGGGTAATATTAACCGAGGCTCAAGCATTAGTCATTACCCGACTTACATAGCTCTGTATGGTATCCTCCATTTCCTTTTGGGTGAGCGCCTTCGTCTCCTTCAAGCCGATGATGTCCTTGGTGAGGTTATTGTTATAGTTTTGGCTATCCACCACCTGATGGCCGAGGCCCTTCAGGCGCAGCTCGCTTTCGATCTTCTGGCGACGCAGCTTGATAAAGGCATCCCACGCCTTGGCGTCCACCGAGGAGGGGCAGTTCTTGGGCGCATCGTTGTCAGCGATGTAGGCTAGGAAGTCGGAGATCTCTTTGGGCATCGGGAATGTCATGCGATTCGGTTGCTTGGGCCCCAGCTTCTGTGCCACTTCAGTGCAGATGAGCGACGAGTTGAACAGTTTGTTTGACAGCTTGGGCCGCTTCTTGAAGAGCTTTGTCATCTCGTGGGCGGCATGCGGCACAGTGTTTAGGTAACTGTTGCGGAATTGTCGCTCGAGGGCGCGATCTCGCGTCTGCTGCGCCTCGAGGCGAGCGCGCACATCCTGCGTGGCCCGTTCCCAGAACTCCTGCAAGTTGGTGTAGCGCTTGATGTACTCAGTCAGCTTGTCAATGTCCGCTCGGAGCCCAATGATTTGCTTGCGCAGCTCCGCGCGTGTGCTGTGGATTTTCAGCTGGTTGAGCATGCGCGTGCGGCATTGCTTCTGGGCGAAGTTGAACTTGAGCTTGACCAGCATCAGCTCGGCGATGCGCTGGTTCAGCTTGAGAATTTGCTTGGTCTTCAGCTGCAGCGTTTTGGCTTCGTTCTCATGGAGAATGCGCAGATATTTGCGACGATCCTCCTGCAGCAGATTGACGGCCTCCTCGTAGGCACGGTAGATCTTCTGATCCTCCAGCGTGTACTCGTGCGGCTGTTTCTTGAGCGTGAACTCTGGCACCGGTATATCCTTCTTGATCTCCTCCTCCCACAGCTTCTCGATGACGCCATCCATCATAACGATCAGAGCTCGAGCCCAGAACTCCACGGACCACAGCAGCAGCCGGCCCCGCTTGCCGCCCATGTCGATGGTCTTCTTCCTGCGCCGATTGATCGCCTTGATCTCGCAGTCATCCACCTCCATGATGCACTTGATGATCTCGTCCTTGGCCAGCTTCGGCACGGTCAGCTCCGGCGGAATAAACGCGTCCATGTACAAAAGCCTCAGCATGCAGTTCATATTGTCATAGATCTTGATCAGCACGTTATTCGTGTTCAGCACGTTGTCAATCGTCTCCTTCTTCAGCTGCTGGGCCTCGTGGAAGTGCTTGTTGAACTCCACCTTCATGGGATCTACCAGGTAATAGCGGTATTTGGTATTATCGTTAAACAGCTGATTCGAGGTGATCGTGTGAATATCCTGCAACTGAAATTGCGGCGCCATGATGTGCTCGTAGACGCTGTGCCCTTCCACCACATAGGGCTTCAGTTCGTGAACCGGCACTTTGGCACCCTCGGTATCTTCGGCGGAGGCTTGCTCTATCTGGCTGAGATCGTCCTCCATCTCGTCCATGGAGATGGCAGAGAGCCGTATATGATCCTCCAGGTCATAGAAACGATATTTATCGAACTCCACCATGTTCGTTTTACGCGGCAAGGAGTAGCTCTCGAAGTTGGCATCTGCGAATATCGATCGGACCTTATAGTTAATGTTGACAGCGTCGCGGGTCACCAGCTTCAAAATCCAGTCCCTGATCCGCGACTGATCCTCGATGGCGAGCATTAAGGAGGCCCTCTCCAGCTCGCACAGCTTGTGCGCCTCCTCCGTGACGGTGTCCAGCCACTTGTAGTGGAAGCAGAACTTCTTGAAAATGCCCTGCGTCTTGCCCGTCACGGAAATGTCGTAGTCAATCAGCGCCGTCACCTTCGCGGAGAACTCCTGTATCATCTGCAGCACCTTCTCGCGCTTGAACAGATCCGCATTGGTGTACTCCTCCTTGACCTCCATCTTCAGGGTGAGCGGCAGGAACATGCGCGTCACCAGCGCCGTCTGCTGCACCAAAAACTTCTCGGGCACCGGCATTTGAATGTTCTCCCGTATATTGTCGGCCAGCGAGGGCAGCCGACTGACCCACATGACATTCTTCGATGTCAACACTAATAGGTATCTGCAGAGATGAGAGAGACAAAGGAAGATTTTATTATGTCTATGAGATGAAACAAGTTTGATATGGGAAAGAATAGATTTAAGATGGAAGCTTCATCATAGCTATTCATTTTCTTCTTGAACAGATTGTCGACTCTGGGGGAGACTCTAAAAACCACCCACTCGCCGTACCATCGTTTGTTTTTACCATCATAAATCATCTAGACTCTCATCTGCTTACTTACTTGGCATTGTAGCACTCCGTGGCGCGTTTCAGGTATTGTGGCCGGAACAGCAGCGTGATGAAGCGCGACATCATGAAGGGCAGCCGCGAGCGTTTGTGCTGTCGGAAGTGAACCATGACGCCGTCGACGCCCCATGTGAGCAGGTGCTTGGTGACGCCGATGCCGGTGAGATGGCCGAAGTGGGTCGTCTTGATCGATGTGGTCCAGTAGAGGTCGTTGTTCTCGTGCAGCATGAACACATCAAAGACGGTGCTGTCCTTGACCACGGCCACAATCTCCACCTGCACCCAGCGGCCCATCGGCGGATGTGTGTAGAAGGACACGTAGGTGTTGGGCAACGGCAATTCGCGCCTGTGCAGGCGTCGGTCTTTGCCCCAATTGTAGATCCACAGCTCCTCCGCATGGCCGGGCTTCTCGAGGCTCTGATCGCGCGAGATCGGGACCAGCAGACGCGGCCCCTCGACCAGCATGAAGCTCTGGATGAACACCTGCGTGAGCAGCTGGTCGTCATTGAAGCTGAAGTAGTGCGTCATCTTGGGCGGCCGATACTCGACGTTCACCACATGGATGTTCTTGGCCTGGTCCTGAAAGACGATGGTGCTGTCGTGGAAGGCTATCTCGTAGACGGGCGGCGTGTCGCAGTTGATCTGGTTCACGACATTTGGAGTGGATATCTTCTCAAAGTGGATGAGCGAGAGGGTGCTGTCCATGGTGCCCACAACAACGAATGGATTCGCGCGATGCACGGCCAGGGCCGTAGACATAGGGATTGGCACGTGGGACACCACTTTGCCCGTCGGCAAGTCCATCATGGCGCAGCCATCTCTGTGCAGGACCACCACGATTTCGTCCTTGAAGCAGGCGAGTGTGCGATACGCGAGTATGGGCTTACCCGCCGCCATAATCGGCTCCAGCTTGCCCTCGTTCTCCTCGACCAGCACTCGGTCGATGCTGCCGTGCTTGCCCGAGGCATACAGCTCGCCATTGTTGTTGCTGATGAAGAGCCCGATGTTGGCCAGGTCCTGGTCGATGGTCCACTCGACGATGAAGTTGCCGGCCTTCTTCTTGATATAGAACGCCATGCTGCTATTGCTGATCAGGATTCCCATTTTGTGAGCGACGACCGCATGGGCACGCGCCTCCAATTCCCCTGCGCCCTTCTCGGACACATAGGTGGGCTTCCATCGCGGCTTGACTGCGAAGCAGGGTATGTCCACCTGCGAGAACTCCCCGAAATCGTTGATCACATAGAGTCCATTGTCATCCCCGAAGCACATGAAATGCCTGGCCGACTTGGCATAGTTCTTGCCCATGTCCACAGCGGATGTCTTGTGCAAAAAGGCGTCCTTCTCAACGAAGCACATCTCGTAGCAGAGGATGTTCATTTCCATCTTGCCGTACTGGACGATTGTGGGCAAATTGGTGATGCCCACGATTATGGCAAACTCCGGTGTGGCTATATAAGTCGGATGCTCCAGTATGGTCTGGGCGGTGCGATAATTGAACACACAAATCGCATATCTGGGATAGCTGCCGATGCCAACCAAGAGATCGAGCTCCGAAAATTTGATCAGGGTGAAGGTCACAACGGTTCGCGCTGAAATTGGAAATATATTAATATAATCTATATCTATATATCATAATTAACCATATCACTTACTCGTCAGCGTTGTGAATCTTGTGAATTCGGGATATTTGTAGATATGGATGCTGGCATGCAAAATGCTCTCGGCAAAGCCGAAGATCGGAAAGCGATTGTGGCCGGCGAAGGCGTTAATCTGCAGACCCGTCAGCGCCGTCTCCGCACGGAAGTAGCTAACAGTCATGGTGGATATCTGCAGGAACTTGAGCAGATTGCCTTCCCGCAGGCAGAGCACATCGGGGCCCACATTGACGATGCTCTCCGAATTGTAGCAATTGCACCAGCTAATTTGAAGATATTTCACAGTTATCTATCTGCTATACATCTGTCGGCTATATTTTAATCTTACCATATTGTTGAGCTAATATTCATCTTGCCGTTTGTTGCCTAAAATACTTCGCCTTGAAGTTCCCTAAAGCGTTTCGTTTCAATCAACAAAGTTTCTCCGTTGTCAAGGCTCTGACAGCGCTTGCCATGGCAACTGAAATTGCAAAACGAATCGAAAGCAAGTTAAAGAGAGAACTTAAGTGTTTGTTTTCCAGTCTGGCTTTAATTGCTCAACCTGGTCGTCACAATTTTCGGCAGCAAATTTCCCAAGCGGCTGCTTGGAATGGCGCCCATAAAGCCAGAAAATAACATTAAGCAGAACGTCAATAAAACGCCCAACGATGATCAAAATTAGGTAGATATGCAATATATATATATATATATATATATATATATGTATACTTGTGTGTACAAAATATATATATATATATATATATATATATATA